ATATTTTGGGATGAAAAAAGCCAAAAGGCTATCTTTGCGCTTGATCAAAAAGGAACTTCTTTGTTTTTAGCCGAGTACTACGTAGGTACGCGGAAATTTACTATTCGCGTACTTACATTTTCCTTCTAGCAATAACTAGCAAATCTGCCAAAGTATTCAAACTTTAGCTGTACATGTAAATTCCACGCATCCGATATATTTTGGGATGAAAAAAGCCAAAAGGCTATCTTTGCGCTTGATCAAAAAGGAACTTCTTTGTTTTTAGCCGAGTACTACGTAGGTACGCGGAAATTTACTATTCGCGTACTTACATTTTCCTTCTAGCAATAACTAGCAAATCTGCCAAAGTATTCAAACTTTAGCTGTACATGTAAATTCCACGCATCCGATATATTTTGGGATGAAAAAAGCCAAAAGGCTATCTTTGCGCTTGATCAAAAAGGAACTTCTTTGTTTTTAGCCGAGTACTACGTAGGTACGCGGAAATTTACTATTCGCGTACTTACATTTTCCTTCTAGCAATAACTAGCAAATCTGCCAAAGTATTCAAACTTTAGCTGTACATGTAAATTCCACGCATCCGATATATTTTGGGATGAAAAAAGCCAAAAGGCTATCTTTGCGCTTGATCAAAAAGGAACTTCTTTGTTTTTAGCCGAGTACTACGTAGGTACGCGGAAATTTACTATTCGCGTACTTACATTTTCCTTCTAGCAATAACTAGCAAATCTGCCAAAGTATTCAAACTTTAGCTGTACATGTAAATTCCACGCATCCGATATATTTTGGGATGAAAAAAGCCAAAAGGTTATCTTTGCGCTTGATCAAAAAGTTTATCGTCATCGTCCGACGGAAAAAAATCGCTCGGGTGAGCGATTTTAAAATCGTTATCGTCCAACGCCGATAATTTTATCGTTTTCGTTGTAGTGTGGACACCAACATAATTTTTTTCACCAATCATCGCGTGTTTACAAGTTATCGTATCGTTATCGTTGTGTGGTGTGACCTGGGCTTAATTGCCAATGCTATACCAAGCCCTAAAAAAATACCTGTGGTTCCGGTTTCCCGACCGACCCTATTTTTTTCTGCCCACCCTATTATTTTTTTCAATACGATTGACCGTGCGATCTATTTTCTCCGGGTGGTTGCGGGCTGCTCGTACAGCGTGCCAAAATGGCGTCTGTTGTCACAATAATTATTGAACCAAATTGCCTAAATTCGTCCGTACGAACTACGCATCTCTAGCTAATATGAATGTCGGGACTCTACTGAAAATCGCCCAGCAAAAAACCGCCAAAACCATGAAAAAAATATTCAAAAAAAAATTATTTCCGACCTACCTACCCTAATTTTTTCGCGATATGAAACCGGAACCACAGGGTTTTTTAGACCCAATGAGGAAAACTACACTATGTAGCTGAGGTCAGACTGTTAGCACCCTCGGTAAATCCACTGTAAATGAGCGATGGCATTCGAGTCACAACGTCGACGCTTTGAAAACTGTTGTATTATGTTGTACAAATACCATAATTAAAGATTCATTTGTACAAAATTGCCCATACGTTTTTTGGACCAGTAAACTATACGTAGGTATAAAAACGCACGACTCGGAAGAAGTCTTAGGTACGTCCTGGCTCTTAAGTTTGTACCAGATCAGGTACGCGGCAAAAAATGTCGGAGTACCAGTCAGGTACGGCAAAAAATATTGAATTATCGCACCCTGAATCAATCATGTCGATTAGCGTTGTTGTTTAATGTACAACTATCAATTCTAATGGTTTAAAAATTGCATCAGTAGAGCTGTAAGGAATCGTACAGAGAACAAAACAGATTGTATATATAATGCTAGATTCTATTGTTTGCTATATTGCTATAACTTTAGCTTAAGTTTTATTTAATAGTCATTATTTAATATAACACTGTTATATGGGTGCATGTGATTGTATGCTTGTCACTTGCTCCTAAACAATGCGTGTGAATTGTGATGTTTGGTACCAGACTTTAATAGGTCTTTCAAAATTGTCGGGGGAGGGGGCGGCCGCCTCTAATATTCTTCTAATATCTTGACACCATGAAAGTATATATAGATCATTTATGGAATTTGTAAAAGTTGTTACCTGTATCTTCTGGATGTCTTCAACATGTACTACCTTCTCAAAATATTCAACCATCTCAGAATGTACTGATTGAATTCGAATTCTAATCGCCGGAGCTTCGGCTTCTTTACATAGTGAAGACATTGCTAAAGCAACGCCAAATATCGCTCCTTCCCTAAACAACAAAAAAAGAGGGGAAATGTCAATCTTCTGGGCCAATTAAGTCGTTACTAGTCCCAACCGTGCAGCTAACAGGGACGTAGGAACCGGGGGGCGATGGGGCCAAGCCCCCCCCCCAAGTTTTCAGAAGACACAAAAAGTGCCCTTTTTCCGGTGGCAAAATGCTGTTCAGATTGCATTTTTGACTCACGGATGTTGCAAAGCAATATCTGCGAGTCTTTGTGGTTACTTGAGTGTGAGGCAGTTAAACAATGAGAAATGACCAGCCTGTTGCCAGCCGCACTCTTTGGCTGCGAATAGGTCCTTTCAGAACCAGAAATAGGGCTGGAGCACGACAAATGGCAAAATTTGCACGATGCTCGTTTACAAAAACAACTGCAAACTGCTTTAATTCTTTCTGTCACTTTCATTTGATCTCATCCGTGAGTCGGCCTCAACGGCCTTTGGTTTATGATTGCATTTATTTTTGCTTCCCTACCCCCCCCGCCAACATTTCCGAAAATTTTTTTAGGTGCCCTTTTCATTCCAAAAGTGCCCCTTGAAACCGGTGCCCCCCAACTTTTTTATGCTTCCTACGCCCCTGTGATTTCGGTGCCAACGGGCATTATCATTTGTGTTATTATCAATTGTGAATATTGCCAACGGGCATTATCAATTGTGAATTCGGTGCCAACGGGCATTATCATTTGTGTTAGCTTATTACATTATAATTTTTAAAATCAAATTCAGGTTAGATTTTATTTTTCTTATTTTTCTTAGAGCAAGTTTTAAACTCATTATTGACAAACGTGATGCTTTTTGTGTCTTCCGGTGACTGTATATTTCTACGTTTGTGAAACAACTGAATAATTTATTCATCCTGTATAAGAATTAACAATAATATATGTTGCAAACCAAGATCTCAACCTTAGCACTATAAGCCCTTTGTATAAACTCCATTAAAAACAATGAAAAGACAATCAAAGTTTCTGATCAATGGAGCAGAAATGAATGACATCATTATTGTAATGCTAAGCTTTATGAGCATTTCCTCTTATAACTTATACATCAAAATAATTTTGCTATTTTTAGCCTCTATTTTCCTATATAACGCGCTTATTTGAAACGAAAAAAGAGTGCATACACTGATACACGTCTACGTGAAGCAAAAAGGACAATACTGCAGGTGCATATAAACATACGTGTTATTCAACTGATTGGATATGGCTGTCTTTTCCAGAATATCAAGACTTTTTGCAAGTAGAAGATCTCCCTAAAATAGACAGATCGTGTGTTTAACAGTTATTCTATACGAATCATATAACATGAGCTAATTATAGTGATAGCCGCTTTATATAATAGACACAGCTATTTATGTAATACATACTGTTTTATATATAATACAGACAGCAGTACGTTTTAGGGTGTTCGTGGAACAATATTAAGGGTATGATTTTAATTCTCTACTAGGGCTGCAAGTTTTCCTGCGACATGCGAACGTCTGATTACGGCAGTAATAAGTGAGAAGAGATTTTCCAGTTAATTGATTCTAACATGCAAGGTACTCCAATTTTACCTCTTGCAATAAATAGACCTTACTGGACGTCTATATAGAACAGTTTAATTAAAACTGATAGAGTTACACAGTCGAAATAAAGCTAAATTGAATTTGTATTGTTATTGCACTCTTAATTGCCCCAATGGTCTCGTTTTCATGCGGTTGTTTCCTCATCTTTCGTGTCACAGTAGGTTTAGGGACTGGTCATAAAGTAATTACTAGAGGGAGGTGGAGGATAAATGAAATTTCAAGTACATATTTCCAGGGGCGCCGGAAAGTCGATAATTGGGGAGGGGGGCAGATATTCATATATTCATGTTCTGCATCATTTATTTCCTTTGAAAGCGATTGTTTTTACAGTCTGTGAACATGGATATATGAATATCTGTCCCCCAATTATCGACTTTGAAAAAATTTTCGTAACCTCCTTCAATGTAAGTGAAAATTTTCATACCCTCCCCCTTCAATCATTAACAGGTTCTAATGGTGTGAGCTTGCTAGCATTGTCATTGACAATTCAGATGCATGAGATTTGTACTCTGAAAGTTCCACGGATACTGAATCCTACTTATCATCTGACATTGAGTCAGACTGAAACATATATACTTTGTGTTGATTTAATAATAATTATAGTAAAACAATTCTTTCCAAACTTAAATCTGGGCACAAATACATTCAATATTCAACAATAATTATAAAATGTAATTTTTTCCGTACCTATAGTACTAAGATTTTGGTACCCCCCTATAAGTTCTGTTGTTTTTTTCGTACCCCCCTCAGAGGTTCTGGGGTTTTTTCGTACCCCAAAAAAATATCCTCCACACCCCCTAGTAAATATTTTATGACCGGTCCCTTAGGGATATGCTTTTGCTTAGGGTCAAGATCAAAGAGCCATGCTAAAATAGGAAAACATGGAGTTACGACGCCATTGGGACAAAAGTGCAATAAACAGTAAAGTCTACCAGTTCAGTCAATTGTCGTTATATATAAATCACAGAAGATATATAGCCTCGGTTTTGGATATGGGAACCCAACACACATTTAAGCGTTCTTAATTTAACCACTATATATTGTTTATGTAATAATATTACATAAATATAATTACCTCTTCTCCAAAACAATCACTGGAAAAACGACAAGGATAAAAAAATTAGAGAAATAAAAAACTGTTTCACGTCTATACAATAAAAACGCAAAAATATAAATGTTTTAGTTCTTACCTGATATTTTCCCGATATAATTTTTGTAAGATTATTCCTAATCCCACAGAACAATGTCCTTGTATCACCGCCGAACTGCCTGCTCTGTTTGATATAAAATAAAGCATTTTATCATTAGCATCACAAAATTACTGGATGCTGATTGGTTGAGAGGAGTACAATTATTTCATTAATTGTACTGCAGTACAATGAACCTTTCCCCTTAACTAAAATTTCGATCTAGACAAAAATTTCATCACAGCTTGAAAGAGCATCACAAAATTAGTAATATTCCAAAGTTTTGTTGCAAAATCTTGTAAAATGCGGATAATATAGCCTTGCGAAGTTTGCCGTTTTTTAGTCATTTTGTATTACAAACGGGAAATTGACATCCGATTCGGGTGTTGGGGCTGCAATTTCCCGTTTGTAATCTAAAATGACTGAAAATTGCAAACTTCGCAAGGCTCTATTTTCCTCATTTTACAACATTTCGCAACGAAACTTTGGAATATTACTAATTTTGTGATGCTCTTTCAAGCTGTGATGAAATATTTGTCTAGACTTGCCCAGATCAAAATTTTGGTTATAAGGGGAAAGGTCTATTAATGATTTTCCCAAAACAAACAAAATGGCGGAAAGGTACTGTTTTTAAACACAAATGAAATTAGCCTCGTGATGTTTGGAAATTTTGCCAAATTGGACTCACCCCGGTGGCTCGTCCAATTTTGGCAAAATTTCCAAACGTCACTTGTACAATAAATCCCTAATTGTATTCGCCATCGCATGATTACCTATACATATATGCCTTGGCGTCGCTAGTTTGCTTCAAATAAATTAATGCTCTCTCCCAAGCTAAGAGCCATGTTGCAACTTAAGGTGGCTACAAACGCTTTTAAAAAATAAGGAAAATTAACAAGTTAGATTAATTAAGAAAGATAAATATGACATACTTTGTTTGTCCAGGAATTCTCATTTGCAAAACATTGAGCACCTGTTGTAAACGTTCAAATCCAACATCAAGTAAGGCCGGGGTGATTTGAGCCAATCCAATGGCCGCACACGCTCGGGCTAACATTGAACTGGATGAAGACGTTGTTGAGACCTTCAATGAACAAAATAAATTGAGAATAGGTAATCTCTGTGCGTAAACCATGGACACTACATGCTCTTGAATGCAACAATACTCCATGCAATTATGATTAATGAATTTACGCCTAGGCATTTAAAATGCATTCAAGTTATCGTATGTTGTGCAAAAATATGAATTCTGTGCTCTCTAACACAACATATAGTTAGTTAACTTAATTAAAATTATTAGATCATGCATAGAGGTATACATGTTCTGAAATGTGAGCAGTCAAGATGTAATATAATCATAGACTATTTCATTTGAAAGATGCATTTTTTTATGAAAATTTTCTGGGCTATTTTGCATAAAGCTTGCATCATATAAATCGGGACACTTAAGGTGCTACTTTCAATTGGGTCCACGAACGTTTCTCAATCAAACCCTATGTTAACCTCAACACTGGAAAAAAAATTGAAAATCCATAGAAGGTCATAGAATGGAAATTGTATGGACCTTTATTGGAAATAGAATGGATTTTGGTTATCCATAATAATTGTATATTTCCATAGTATGGATATAGTATGGAAATAGGATGGATATCCTATGGATTTAGTGGTGCTATTGCAAATTTCGTAGTATGGATTTCACTTTTTTTCCCAGTGCAATCCTTAAACTGTATTACATTTTTCATACGATGGATAATTGACAACAAGTTTTCTTCTGCAATCATTTGGTTCAAGAGTTTATTTGCAGTTGCCGTCACGTAATAGAGCGAGCTTAAGCAAGCGACGTTTTTAAAAGTGAACACGAACGTCAGATTGCCGAGAGGGACTGGATTGAAAACTGTGTTTGTGTCTGCCTGTGGTAATCATTCAATACATATGACAAAACATAAGGTTTTTAAAGTTTTTTGCTTCTTTGCACAAGCGCTATGCTTATTCGCCGAAATTTAGTGACGTGCTCACTAATATTTTTGGTGTGACCTCATTGAGAGGCAATTTTTTTCAATGTCACGTATTTGCAATGAAAAGTGTTCAAAACCTAAAATCTTTTTGGTGTTCCTCTCAAAATTACTTTGTTTTAGCTTTATTCTCTAGCTTATAGAGTTAGCTACCTTTTTAAATAAATGCATCTATCTGCCGGTGGAGAAACATAAAATAATAGGAAAAAATTGTCAATTAAAATACAAATATCAATGATGCTTTAAAATTGACGCCATATTTACAGCCATATAAGCAAAACTTACTGAACTTCAGACATAATTATCTCTTCATTTTAGCATTATTTTACAGATAAAGCACTAAACATACTTTTTAAGTTTGTTTGCCGATTGAGAAACGTATCGAAAAATAAAAATTTTGAATTTAGTCATAACCTCAAGCGATATATTATACGCATTTATTTAGTTTTGAGCGCGTGTTACGTAACATACAAAAAACTCCTCTTAATTATTCACCGGCAATTTTAAGATGAAAGAGAGGCCACTGATCACCAATTTGTATCCAGACAATATACGTGTCCTTTCCCAACAATAACGAGAAACTGTTAGAACTTCTTCTAACATGTCAGCAACACCACAGTAGATTCGTGGTGGTCACACCGACATTGGCTTCATTTATGCTTAGCGGAAGCACTATCCAGTCCTAATTTTCAGATTATAATGCACGCGCATTTGCCAGTCTAATAGTATACATGAAAAAAATTTTCAATTCTGATTGGCCAAGAGCAGTGCAAAATGTTCGAAATACAGTGCCAAAAATGAAATACAGTGCAAAAAAATACAGTGGCTTTCTGATTGGCTTAAAATATGAAACAATAACAAAGATAGACAATAAGATTCACCAATACAATACAAAAAACAAACATTTAGGAGTTTTCAGGAGTGACTGCATAATGTTTTCATGTATATTATTAATAAGTAATAGTATCGTTTCTCGTGCAATTTGAAAAAACATACACTTCAAATTTGATAGTCTTTGAAAACCTCACTCGTACATGTTTTTTTTTCTTCGAAATTGCACTCGAAACCATACTATTAAACCTATACAAATTGAGTGTTACATCGCACTAATGTTATAATAGCAGATAAACTTTATTTTTTCTGAATTACAAAATATTGTGTTTTTTGTTTTAAATATTTTGTCTAACATCTCACCTGCTGGCACCAACTCATTGGAACTCCAAATGTCTGCAGACTTCCATCAAGTGTGACTAACATTGTATCAGTGACACGCGCAATCCACTCCTGTGTACTTATATAACTTTTACTTGTGTTTTGTGTCGCCTGCGTTTCTACAGTTGAGCTGTGATACGTGAAGACCGCAACCACCAGACCAGTTAAGGCCAACAAGGAATTGCCTTGCATAACATGGCTACCTCTGTCAAAGAACAAACATTTTTCTCACGCAACCTGTGGTAACATTGTTATTGTGCTATTGTGTTAACAATCCTGGTTATTGTACGTCTCGCGTGTTATAGATCTGCAAACAAGTTGTAACAAGGTTGTTGCCAAACCGATATCAGCATGTATTCGTACTGCTTGTGTTCCCATTTCTTGTGACAAGTCTTGAACAAGTTGTTATCAGCTTGCCACAAGGTTGATGACGGTAACAAACTTGTTGCAAGTTGTTTCCATCAAGACTAGTACAGGCAGTTCGTAACAAGTTGTTACGAGTTTGTTATCAATTTGTTAACAACATGTTACGTGCAGACGATATCGGACTTGTTGGAACAACTTGTTGCGACTCTGTTGGCCTCATCAACCTTGTTCCAAGATTGAAACAACTTGTTCCAAGCAGTGCGAACCCATCTTGTTGACAAGCTGTGAGATATTTACGCGTTAAAACCACGTATTAAAGGAAATGCACATGCACGTTAGTGCATGAGGCTTTCATCTCTGTGATCGTGTTTTGATTCTTGCAGCATACAACACTAGGCAGATATGGGTACAGTATCTATCATAAATATCGTAATTTGGGGTAACATCCAATTCTATTTTGATTGCAAGAACGCCTTAAACTGAAAAATAAGTTATTGTACAACTTTTCTTCATCATTTTTCATTCTTGAGATAATTTAGTTTGTTTGATATGCACATGAAACAAATCAATGACGTCACAAGCTGGTAAAATATGTTCAAAGATGGCAATCGCGCCAAACTCGTCAAGCTCATTGTTCAAAATGGATGAAATCATTCATGTCCATATCGGTGGTTTCCTATTCATTAATCTGACATATAAAAAAATGTTTAAGAGTCCTCTGGACAGTCAAAAACTTTCCTTACTTTGAGGCAGCCTTGAGTAGATCTGTCAATGCATCTCTAGCCCTATTAATTGGAATGAACAGATGTGATATTTGACTGCGTTGACTATGTAATCAACTATGACCTAACGTTAAGGCTGTCTAAATTGGAGACAGTAAGAATTACATCTAAGAATTTTGCATGTTTGGACACCGGGTTTCGTTCCACAAGATATTTTTTCTGCAGTTAATTCAGGGATTGAAATTTACACTAATCCATTATTCCGGATGTAGGAAAATGCCTCACAGAATAGTAAAATTCATGATCTCAATATTCTGTTTGCATATTAGATAAAAATTGTGGTGGTTATCAATTTACAGTATCACTAGTACGTTATTGAGGATAGTTTTACTGCTACAACGTGCAAAAACTCAACTACAAAATCTGCATGAAGCCAAGATGGCGGAAATTGACGTCTATAATACTTGAAGGTCGTAAACAGTTTTCGTACCATCTTCCAATCCCCAGCTAATACTTTTTCTCCAAGACCTTCGGTTTTCTCCTCTTTGGAAAACAATTAACAGCAGATTGAACTAACTAGTCTGAATGACGTTAGTGTACGCACGCTCTCGACGAGTGGCTGTCGGAAATTCTTCTATTTGGTTAAAGTAAATTAGTGTAGTCTGGGTCGTGAATTTAATTAATTTACGGATTACTATAATTCATTAACCCTTTCAGCGCCAGCACTCTCCCCTTGACGAGTAAAATCATCTGGCGTTAGAGTAAAATAATATATCGATTGAACGCCAGCGTTCTCCTCTTGATGAATAAAACCGCCTGGCGTTAGACAGAGTAAAATAATCTGGCGTTAGACAATGCACTTTAATGAGCTAAACCAGAGTATATATATAATATAAGTGAAAAGGAGCGTGCTATAATCATCCTTAATTGCAGCTGAGAGTTGAATTACTAGAGAAAGAATTAAATCTGATATTAAATCTGGTTGCAGCGGACGAACAATATGCAAAGTCAGTTTAAGTTTCGACAAGAAAGTCTTCTCTGTATTGTAAAGGATATGCTTACCATAACCACGCACTCTGGACTCCTGTCTTAAATTCTTCCTCGACAATGTGTTCGCGTTCTTTTTGTAATTCTAACTCCATTTTTCGTCCCTATAACGATTTCAGTTAAAAATATTTCGTTTCAGTAAGCGTTAGCGCAGTGCTTAGTGCGCGTATTCCACCAAACGAGTGCTTCCAGTTTGTCCTGAAAATGTTTAACGGGTACTCGCGGCACAAATAAGGAATTTGGCCTGATTAGACCTCTTATATAGCCTATACACAGCAAAAACTTCTGAAGTAACTATCATCGAAAAAACAAGAACTATAAACAGCAACCAATACGATGTAGAAGAAATGTTTAGAGGAACTTTCGTTGCTCTTTCTAATCCTATTGACATCACATATCCTTTTACAACAACTTTACGTATACGGTAACTAAGCTTAGGTTGTTCAGCAAATTGATCAAGCAAAAAATGTAGATGCAGAAAAGCACTTCTAATACAAAAATTGTTTCATTGGTAAAAATATTCATGGATTGAGGAGAGCGACCTACATTCTCACCACAGCAGATTACTTAAAAATATTATGAAAGCCCTGAGTTCAGTTCAGTGCAATTTAATACACGCTTCCGGAAAGTACGTCACCTTGGCTATAGAGCCTCGTTTTCATGATTGAGACGTGGCCTTTAACTGATGTCTGATACATGAAAACGAGGCTCTATAGCCAAAGTGACGTACTTTCCGGAAGGGTGTATTCAGTTTAATTCAGTTCCGTTCCGTTCAATTGAATTCAGTTGAGTTCAGAGTGATTCAAGGATGGTAAATGGTTAAATTTGTTTAAAACAGTATACCTGGACATACGAATTAAAAACTCGGCTCATAAACGCTGCCCATGCTTGAGATATTTCAGTATTTGTCTGCCATTCTGAAGATTTAATAGGAACCTAAAATAATGAGAAAATAAAATGTACTTGAACTTGCCTGTATAGTATAATAATAAGCCGCCAATCCAGAGTCTCGACTTTGAATATGCATAGGAAAGTATTAAACTGTTGACACATACATGCTTTGAATATGAAAAAAGTGGCTCAAAAACAATGGACAACTTGCAAGTTAGACTAAATTTTAATCAAAGTAAAGAGAAGGGAAGCTAAAACGAACATAATGAAATTGGTAAAATTGAAAAATTTGCGAAATGTTGTAAAGCTTGGTGCTTTACAAAAAGTGCCCAAATTAAGAAATAAACCAAATCACTAAAAAGACCACCTCAAAATTAGTAAGTATACAAAGTTTGAAGACGTTTACATGAATACCCTTCGAATAATAAGCTTTCAAAAATCGTGACGAAATGAAATGCACTGTAATTTTTGTTTTTTGGGACGTGCGTCCCAAAAACAATCTTTTAATCAGTAATTTCACAATTTTCGAAAGGTCATTATTCGAAGGGTATTCATGTAAACGTCTTCAAACCTCTTATACTTACTAATTTTGAGGTGGTCTTTCTAGTGATTTGGTTCATTTCTTAATTTGGGCACTTTTTAACACTCGTCCCCAGTCCACCCATCAACTTCCGAATGGCTAATTGGCTTATCATAAGAATGAAGAAAGATAAATATAGCAAGAATTCTAAATAAAACGATACAAACATCTTGGACCAACTGATTTATCATCTGCCGATATAATTTGACATTGTTCACAGCCTGACTTCTGATTGGTTTGCCAGATCTGTTCTCTACGTGCAGTTCATATGAATACAGCACAGACACTACAAAAATATTTTAAGAACGAAAAGTGAAAAATATCAGGATTTGGGGCATCCCATTCGATAGAATTAATACTTGTAGAGTATAATATTTATTAGACCTAACTTGAAGGAGCAGTGGTAAAAAATACAACTATAGGCCATCTGGCAGGAATCGAATTAACCTGCGGCCCTGTGTTTGCATAGAAATGTATGAAAATTACACACGAAATTTCCATCTACAAATCCGTTCAAGTTCTATCGAGTGAGATGCGCAAAATCTTGATATTTACCCATACACCTGTTACGAAACATTATCACTTATACATAAAATTTTAGGTATGTTTGCTTAATAAGATGTTTGCTTGAGAGCAGGTGAAATGTTCGTGCAAGCAAATATTATCTTAAGCATAATGAGAAGAGATAATGGATATTTTGCCACAAATCAAAGTAAAGTAAATATTTCGGTTCTTCGGAAAACATTCATTATTTCTTTCATCAGGCTATGACAGTTTGTTAGACTAGCTGCAGTTGTGTATATGAAGATGTCATGCATGACCTGTTTCCTATGGTTTATCTTGTGGGCAGATTTGTTTAAAGAAAGCAGCTGCCTGAGGTCTCATGAACATTGACCTTTCACGTGGACAGGCTCTAGGCGTAAAGATGAGTCATCCCAAGCTGGATAACACTCGGTCATGCAATTAAAATATTACGTCATCAAAATCTTAGTTCAATAAAATTGTGAGTAAATTTAGTTCAGTAGGTAAAGTAAGGTTCACATAGGTATAGTTTGAAGATTTTACTATGATATATTGATAAGTATTTTAAGTTGTGAACATGAATATTTTAACATTGATCGATTGAACAGCGAACCGACTCGACCAGTGCGACAACGCCTTAAATAAACAGAATGTGAGGGCTGGAACGAGCTAGCAACGCCTACCCACTCTTCCATAGCTCAACGTTAATTGGCTGGATACAGATCACACCACTTGTTAGATCACGTGTACAAAGATCCCCTCAACCGTTAGTATAAAAGGGCGTGCACAACTCAAGTTCGTCAGTGAAGTGAGTGAACGTAGACTTAGTAAAGCTCAAGTGATGAAAAGCTACTGAAGCTCAGACAAACTAGAACGAACGAAGAAACGAACAGATCACGAACGGAGAATGCCAGTTCAAGGCTGAAATGAACTTGGAAACAGAACGATTCAAACTAACACAATAGTATAGATAACTGCAAAGTTGTAACGATTCACTGTCTAAATAAATCCTCATAACACACCCTACATTGGCATTCTTTCGCAACTTCTCCTGGCTAGGACTAATAAATGTGTAAAAGTTACTCTCGAAATTTTCAGCTATAAAGTGAAAAGGCCCGAGCACCTTCATTCCTACCTGCAATCGGACACTTTAGGGACGGCTGTTTACATTTATCATATTGCCTTCTCAGAAGCTCAGGAATAGAGGCCATAAACTTGTTTTCGGACGTTTCAACTGTTTTTATCTTGCTGGGTGCCAAGCCTCGCGGAAGATTCGAAACTTCTTGTGATACAATGCTCTTCAAAAATTCTTCAAAACCTAAATATACAAAAGAAAGCATAATTTTTAAACATGATAAACGATGGAATAATATGTGGAACGAGCGTTGTTTCTGAAAAAAGAAAGCTTAATAGAAAATGCATAAGAATTTCGTTTTGAGCGAGTATGCATGCCTGTTAAGCCTCGACCCATGCAAATCACATGCCATTATTAAAAGGCTAAGTACTACTTAAAACAAGAACGCAGCTCGAGTGTATTATATCTGATAAAACACGGACTGGGAGTGGCTTAAGGTAATTCCGCAGTAATTGTTCCCGAAATGAGAATGTGCTGAAACTTCCCAGGCATGGAGTTTATGATATACTTAAAGTAAATCATACAAAAAAGTCGGGGTCACCGAACTCGTTTAGAAGATATGCCAATCACAATATACCACCTTTACCCCCAATTTGGCGCCATCTTGACGCTCATTACGAGTAACAGCAAAATCGCAACAGCTCGATATTTATTGACATTTTTAGCGCGGATTTTTGCTTTAGTAAACCTATCTTGTAATTATTTTTGAAAAAATATTGTGTTTTGAGCAAAATGAAAGTAGTAACGTGTACAATTCTGATCCACAAATCTCTTTTCCACATTTCTTTACATATCTTTCTTTGAGAACATGCATTGATAAAGGAGTTTTTTTCAAGATCCAGAAATGATTTTTCTTTTAATTTCGGAAATGAAATGTAAAATGCATTAAAGACATAAATTATCAGTTAAAAAACGGGGGTCACCGATCTTTTTAGGGAATTGTGGCATTAAAACGTGAAATACAAGTAAATATATATACTACAGACACAGGGAACCCTAGCTACACTTTTGTATGCCTTTTTGAAAACATTGATTTTAACGTAATTCTTTGCACGAATGTAACCAAAGATGTTTTTAAGTAACATAAAATTTTCATAAAATAATTTTTTTTTAAACGGTACGTATAATGGATGAAATTATAAGTTATAAGATGTTCGCAGTAAAAGTGCGCAATGCAAAACTGCGGAATTACCTTAAGTACTGTTTAAAACACGAGCAGGAGTGTTTTATTAAGAATGTTTTATTAGGAGTGTTTTACCTATATAAAGAATACTAATAAGGACACGACCACAAAAGATACTGCCTTATTAGTATTATTTGTATAAAAAATACTATAAATTAGGAGTGTTTTATCAGGTTTAAAGCCACTGCACGTGACATATTATGGTTGACATGATTTGTCAATACGCTTACGAATTATTGAGTGTTTGAAAAATGGCTTAAGAAACGACCCATCTGACGACTTCATTGGCGAAGTAATTTAAAAACGTAGTAGTTTCTATCGTAAGGAAATTGCTGCCTAAGCACGTTTTGTACTTAAACGTACTAAATAATTGTTATGTTAGCGTGGCGCAATAACAAATTTTGGCAACATATATATTATCACAGACAAAACGTTCGGCGTGAAAAAATCTAATGAAAAAATTTTAGCAGTTTTTAATAAGCTGTTGTCAAATTACTCATCGAAATCACGGAGAACGGACCAACATAGTGATATTCGCACATGCAACATAGCATAGTGATAATAGTTTACTATCAGTCCATGAACAAATATACGGTGAAAAGAAATAATCTTTGATTTATATGAAGTACTTCACACAACCGGAGGGCTAGAATTGTGGCTGCGCCTGCAAAAGGAGTAACAGTGAATGTTGAGGGATATTAGTAATTTGAACTACTTGCGCCGGAACACGCTGGTTTGTTTGACTACAACAGGTAAGTGCATTTTTGTCCGATCTCAACAAACTATTAGGTCAAATTCAAATCTACTTGGTGGTGGAAGTGCGCAACAAGGAGATATAAAAGGATTTCATAGTAGGCTACTTCGAGGGGCAGACAGCGGGCTATACAGGGAATGTATTGTTTAGCATACCTGAGTCTTTTGGTTTGTATGAGTATGATTGTTTTTACAATTTATGTTTGTTGTATGGTGTACTTGCTAACGTTGGCCTTCTCTTTTCATTTCTGGTATTTGAATGCTAACATTACAACATTTTAAATCGAATTAAAAAGCATTATAAAAGTTTATACAATCATACCTTGATGGTCATGACCAGGAATTATGTGCTGCAACAGTTCAACATAGAAATATGCAGGAATAGGAAAGGTTTCCAGATCGATTTCTTCATCGTTTTCTAAGCATTCTTCTAGCATTTTCTTAATCTTTGGCGTGGACTGAAGACGGTGGATAATGGTCTGACGAGGCTGGTGCGATAAGAATCTCGTGTTAAAATCGTATAACTGCATGAGTAATTGACAAGCAGTGACTAACTATAATGGAGAACAATTATTCCACCAAATAAACCGAACTAGCTAATTAGCTAACTAGCTAACTAACTATCTAACAAACTAACTATAGCTAACAAACTAACTATAGCTAACAAACTAACTATAGCTAACAAACTAACTATAGCTAACAAACTAACTATAGCTAACAAACTAACTATAGCTAACAAACTAACTATAGCTAACAAACTAACTATAGCTAACAAACAAACAAACAAACAAACAAACAAACAAACAAACAAACAAACAAACAAACAAACAAACAAACAAACAAACAAACAAACAAACAAACAAACAAACAAACAAACAAACAAACAAACAAACAAACAAACAAACAAACAAAACAAACAAACAAACAAACAAACAAACAAACAAACAAACAAACAAACAAACAAACAAACAAACAAACAAAACAAACAAACAAACAAACAAACAAACAAACAAACAAACAAACAAACAAACAAACAAACAAACAAACAAACAAACAAACAAACAAACAAACAAACAAACAAACAAACAAACAAACAATGTGGGTGTTCCATTTCAGGATATTATTAATCCAAAGACCTAGCAGCTTGAACGAGTTTACTCTTTCAATCGTATCATCGCCAATCTTAAGTGATGGTGGTTTCGGAATTGCAGCTTTAAAGCAGATCTACATGTCTTTCGTCTTTTTCGCGTTAACTTTCATCTTGTTTCTGAGTGCCCAGTCGTTCATTGCATCAAGCACCTCTTGCATGTTGCTAGTAGAACCATATGTAATCACTTCATCTTGAGTGCAGTCATCTGCGTATTTGTGCGTATTGATGTCCAGATGATTGGGAATGCAGTCCTCGAGGTCATCCACATGAACATTAAACAATGTTGGTGATAAAACAGATCCCTGGGGGACTCCGGTAAGGCAAGGCCTTATAGGTGACAGAGCACCTCGTAATTTTACTTGCTGAATCCTCCCTTCTAGAAAGCTCCGTGTCCATAGCAAGAAGCTTTTCGACACGTTCATTTTGGCGAGCTTCCTTAAAAGCAATCCGTGGTCCACCAGATCAAATGCTTTGCAAAAGTCGATAAATAGGGCGTGGACACCCATTCTTCTATCACGTGAGTTTTCAGTCTTGTTGAACCAATTTTGGGTGATGCTCGCCAGTGCAGATACAGTTGATCTACCGTCTGTAAATGCATGTTGATTATCTTTGATCTTAAGGTCCCCTTTGTTTAATTTAAGTTGGATGTTTTCTAAGACTTTAGCCAATTGCGGTAATACTGAGATTTAGCGACTTTTGCAGGCAAAAAGCGGCGATAACTGCCAAAACCCGAAGAATCTGGACCAGCTATGTGTCACGGGATTTATTTGGTCGTATCAAACCCTACTATACAAAATAGGTACGCTAAGCGTGCATGTATCTGCTCATGGTGATTGCACTGTTGCCAAGGGCTTCAATCAACACTCAGTAGCTTGTAAAAAATTTTAAGGGACTGATGTTTAACAGTTGACCAGTTAAATAAAGTTAGATTTATAGTATGTCAGTCGTCAGATGAAAGAAAAATAAAATGGCTGATATATATTCAACTTGCAGAAACTAATTCCGGCCATAACTTCACAAAGATGATATTCAATTTTATGATGTTCTTGTTGAATCATCTTAGTTTTATAATTTTCTTGCAGGGATGGATCCAGCATGATCTGATACGGGGGGGGGGCTGCTCGGTCCGCTCTGGTGCCGAGTTGTGTCGGTCATGTGTGCCGCCCGCCCATCAACTTGCTTCACTATTGCAAAGTCTTGCTTGGCTACAGTATTTGAGTTGTTCACAGTTTGCCTATCATCATATTATTACTCAAATTTCTGTATCTCATTTTGTCTCTAATAATTTTTGCTTATCATGAAAAATAGGACACCCCTCCTGCACCCCCTCTGGCCAAGGCTTGGGGGGGGAGGGTGCACACCCCCCGCATCCCCCCCAGTAAATCCATCCCTGTGTTCTTGTTAAAACATTTCGGGTTCCAAATCTTCTTGATAGTTCATAATAAACTTTAGCAGGCATGCAAGAACGTTGTAGATGCATAGAAGTTGTCAGGATAACAGGTGGTGCCAATATACATTTGCAGAGTTTTGAAAGCCTTTTTATACCATAATTGATACATAACATCAACATTTCTGCTGTTTATAATTGATCTATTTCATTTTAGAAAATGTCATAGTCAGGGTTCATGGCACACAAATCAACTGTTTATGCCTAGTAAATATATCAAATAGGTCATATATTGAAAGTCATTCATCAGCAACAAATGATGACAAGTATGGAAATTAGAAGTATAATCGATGCATATAGTTCTTGAATAGAATGATATAATTCAGCATACCAGATCCATGCAATAATATTTTGTCGTGGAAGAAAATCCACTAAACAGAATATTATGTTAGTTTTGTACATTTTGTGCTATAAATAAGATCCCATTATGACATATGGTTGTTGTTGATTATAAGACAATATAGTATGGGATAGGTGATGGGGGATATAAATTGCTTGCCTGGTGTTCTTGGCAATGACATTCAGTTGCAGAAATCAGGGTGGATGAAGAAGGGAGCACCCCCTCCAGGATATATAGTTATATGCTGCAAGTTGATAATTATGACTGGTTGCAACTGTTACTATAAGTATTTATATTCCAATCTAAAACTGAATCTCTGCTCTTTATGCAGCCACTATTACTTTGGCTTTTCTTTAATGAAAGCAATTATTCAATGCACATACTGCTATAAAGTGCTTTAAGAGAAATGTTTCCAATATGTGTGACTTAGCTTCTGACTCTGCTAAATTTGTATAAAAATGATCTATCAAAGTCTGTAATGAAAGCAGACACCAATTGTCTATAGTTATGATCATTGATAAAGAAATTATGTAACCTTACGAAATTATATAGCCTTCTATTGGTTTCATTCAACTAATTTATATTAACTAAAGTCACCAATGAAAATGTTAAATTGAGAAGTACATAAACATCAACACTTACAACTCGATATACACCTACAACGGCAACATGTGGAAGAATCATTACTTTCATAGTTTCATAATAGTATTTTCAATGCCATTATAGTCAATAATTTGCTATTTTTCTTGTCAAAAATTGCGATTCATTTCGTTTCCACTGTGTATTAAATGATGAAATCCTTCAAATGCTTGCCAAAAATGCACTATCGACATTTGCCATATTCAGACTAGTAAAATGACGTTGTTTTAAACTGCGTTTGATGTATAATTTTAATCGTAAATTCACAAATTGCTTTTTGTTTCACCCTTCAGTAAACCGCCATTTTGAAATTAGTATCATTACGTCATTTCATCTATACGCTGTCGTTGATTGGCTATGAGCACGCTTACAAACTTCCGGTACGCGCACGATGGCAATATATCTGCTTCGCAGATACAAAAATGTCAAGCTGCGCCTGTGTTACCCCCACTCCCATAGGATACGATTCTTTATATTCAAACCATTGATTCAAACACAATTCGAAAAAATATCGATCGAGAATATCATTTTTATGTTGCAAATTGTTACAAATATGAATGTGTAAATCGAATCGAGCGACAAGTGTGAAACGTGAATCATGGAATTTATAAGAATATTTGCAACCATTCAATTTATATTTGGTCTGTAGCGTACATGCAAATAACATCAAACATTAATTATTTTGGGAAACGGATGGAGTAGTATATGTCGAAATTTCAACTGGATAATGGATGCTCTTGCCTCTTGGAATTGTCGCGATTACTGTTATATAATTTACTGCATGAACGACCGTAATAACAACATTCGTGGCAACGGTATGTATCCTTTTATTAGTATTTGTACGTGAAAAGAAACAACAAATATTTTACGCACTTTAAAAAATGCCCCCACAGTGACTAAATGTACACAATTCACGTACAAACCTGTTTTGGAAGATGTCTGATTAAAAAAGTTTTGCTATTGAACTTTGCCAAAGCTTTGTATGCTGCGTCTGAGATACTTTCATTCTACACAAAAAAGATGTACATAATACAGAATATAGTTAACTGGGAATGGTTGTACGAAGGATGGATAGCCGTAAACAAATATACTGCTATCACCTACTACATCCTTCAACAATAGTCGTAGATAGAGCAAATAGCGATTTTTCAAAATGCAAAATGCTTAATTAAAATACAAAATGCTAAAGTTCAGTCTGCATGGGTTATAATAAATTATTTATAAATATATTAAATTTATAAATTTTTAAATTTATAAATTTATAAATATATAGCGATTTGTAATACACGAAACAACTTTACCTCATGTTGCGAATATCTCCACAAAAACGACAAAACGTATTCCTTCAAATCCTAAATTAAACATATATCAGTACAGTGTTTATTGGGAAATTGGCAAATCATACTCATATAGACTACCGTATTTGGGTTAGGTTAGTACAGTATTCACAGAATAACTCAGGAAAACCAATTACGTGACAACTGCCACCGTGTTACAGTGAGACATGCTACAAGGTGTACGGGTCGGGCTAAGCAATATGAGGATGTGATCCTTTAAGTGACACATGATATATTTATAACATTTGGTGTTTTAAGTTCCTAGGATCTTGTAGGACAAGAATGGCAGAGAATTGGTGCCCCGGTTAGCTTCTGGCTGAAGACAGATAGCAAGCCCTGCAGACCATTTCCTTCTTGCAGAAATGAGCAGTGCCAGTTGTTGCCATCTTCTCCGAGCTCGGGTCCCCATCGGGGTTGGGCTAGCCACTGGAGGTTAATTATTAGTGCCTGCATGAGTACGGGTTTTCTGTGTGCTTGTGACTGGCCAGAAAAATACACGATATACAATATTCCTGTGTTAGGACGAAGCGGTGGAATGCAAACCAGTTACGTTTCTGTCGTCTGTGGATCGTATCGGTTGGAAAATCGGGAAAAACAGGACTTTATTATCTAAAGATGGAGTAATAAGGTCTTCACTCCACGGACTTTTCTTTGTCTTTTCTCATTAGTTCCACACAAGAAATCACAAGACAAAGAAAAATTCCACTCCGCGCGCAAAATTCCGCCTAGTGGAAAACGGCTTAACCCTACGAGATGCCTGCGGAGGGGGCTACCTCCGCCCGGGGTATCCTCAACGATGATATTTCATTAGGGGCAAAGTCCCACGGGTAAGATCATAACTTCGTGTAATATTTTTACCTATGGCTGTAAAATAAGTGTAGCCAACAATTTGGCAAGAAGAGAGCCACTTAATAATACTAACCTCGTATTCTTTTGCTTCAACGACCAACAATGGCACGAGAGAAAACAAATCACACAGGCCACCCACGACAAGTGGATTAGAATCATACTCAAGCTTAACCTTTAGAACTTGCCAGGTCGAAGCCAAATTTAAAACCTATAAGGGAGAGTGGAATTCTTTAAAATTGGTTAAAGAGAATACAAAGTTAAGCAATTATTGCAGTCAAAAAACAAGGTCCTTCCCGCCTCGGCTTGTGTAGTCTGTTGACATCTAATTTATTCTGTTCAGTATTACTGAACGACTACCGAATTACATAAAAAAGTGACGCTAAAATTTAGTTTTCCTTATTTTTATTCATTGCATGTAAGGCAATGGACCATTTGCATTATAGACTAAATTTTGATCTAAACGAGTCTAGACAAAAATTTCATCACAGCTTGAAAGAGCATCACAAAATTAGTAATATATAATAGTTTAGTTGCGAAATGTTGTAAAATGCGGATAATAATTATAGCCTTGCGAAACTTGCCGTTTTTCAGTCATTTTGTATTACAAACGGGAAATTGATAGCCCAATACCTTTGGGGCTGTCAATTTCCCGTTTGTAATACAAAATGACTGAAAAACGGCAAACTTCGCAAGGCTATATTATCCGCATTTTACAACATTTCGCAACGAAACTTTGGAATATTACTAATTTTGTGATGCTCTTTCAAGATGTGATGAAATTTTTGTCTAGACTTGTTTAGATTAAAATTTAGTCTATAATGCAAATGGTCCATTCTGAGTGTCGACTACGCCAGGTGCTAAAGTATGGGGGTGTGGGGGAGTGAATTCAATCCCAGTCGGCAAAACATGGATTTGGATAGAAAGAGTGACACCGTGTATCCTTTCTTTATTTTGCTTAATACAGGAGTCGAAATATGTTAATACGAAATCGATTAAATGGTATTTCTATACATATTGTGGCTATAAGTGAAACACAAATGATAATTGAACAGTTAATATTTTGACATACACATTTTAATGCTACAGCTCAGCTACATCATCTACACGATTCGACTACAATTTATCCCAACGCAGAATGCGTCATTTGGATGCGCAGTCGACATTCCGAATTGGCTTATTAGGCCCCGTTTACATGAGACCGGAACGAAGTCAAACCGGGACCATCTCGTTTCGGTCATAGTATTATCTATAATACATGTTTACATGAGACCGAGACGAAAATAACTCAGACCGGTCTCAAGTCATTCCGCCTTCTGGACCGAACTGACTGACTTCAGACCGGCATGAATTCAGACTGGGATGAATGTAAACACAAATACATTTCAGACCGGTCTCGGCTGTAATCTTGACATTGGAACAACACATGCTACCAAGAGCCACCTGAAAAAGAAAATTGCCTGGCAAGGGGAATAAATTGAAGATTTTGTGATCCTCGTACCGGTCTCATGTAAACATGTTGACAATTTCAATTTTCATTCCGGTTTGACTTCGTCCCGGTCTCATGCATGCAAACGGGGCCTTAGTTGCCCTGCATGTAAGAATGAAAACATACAAACAGCCTCATTAATGTCATTAACGAGACGAAACGTTCGTAAAATCGCTCATCGCTGTGGTTACCGCTTTGTCTTGATTCGTCTGCAACCGTAAAATACCGTATTGCTAGTACATATCATGCTCCAGGTAATGAACTAGAGTAATTGAGTTCTGCTGCATTTCAAGGAGTTATCACTCTTTCAATGATGCATGTTTCCGCATTTTTTTTGTGTTTGGTAGGATAAATTCTGACAATAGTTGCTCCATATGTAGTAAGGATCGAAACACTATTGTAACTAACAAAATAAAAGTTATTTTAATTTTCTATCATTACTTCTCACCTAGTTATCATGTTTGAAAATTAACCTTTTTTCCCTTTGGGCGTGGCATATATTGGTTACTATGGAAACAGTTCACTAAAGAAGTATATTTTCATGGTTGGGTGAGCACCTTCAATAACACTGTGAAGTTAGATTTTTGTTTTGGAAATTTTTTTGTATAAAACCACCTTATTAAGGGAATGCGTACATTCTGAATAAAGTACATCTCAAAATATGCATATGTTGTGTGTATCTGCATAATTGTTCTGTCAATAAAAGATCGACTCAACCTAATCGCAACCGAAGCCATGCACAGTTTTAGCTTCCGTGTAAACGTTCGAAGACGAAGTGACTTTCCACCACCCTGACCTTTCCAAATAGCTGAAGCGTGACTTTAAACGAGTCATATGTCACAGTCTAGTTTAGTATGGTTTAGTTTATGTACATTATTTGGCGTCTATACAGATGTAGTTGTTTTGCAGATCTTGCACGCACTATCGCCCTAACAGTTAAGTTACAAGGGAGTTGATATCGTGCTATATTATATATCAATGTCAGTGAAAAATGCATAACACAAATAAGTAGAGAATATATTCGTGAATTGTTTTCACTGCAGTTAAACCTTCCTTGAAGATTGCATGTATGAGGGGAAAACATTTCCTTTACAATATTTGTTTAAACTGTATTTTTTCGTTTTAAGTGGCCAAATACATGACGATTTAAAACAAAAATATAGGTTTCTCGGCGTATTAAGTTTTATATACATGTCAAATAACTTTCTGAGTTTTAGTCACATTTCTCTCAAAATATTGTCAATACTGGTGTACATCGTGCTTAGTACGAGGTATTTAGGGCTTGATGCAATTCATTTTCGTATTCTCACTGTCTTTAGGATTAAACATTTTGGCCAGATTTTTTAGTTTAAATATTGTTTCACTCCTCGGTTTTTGACGCAAAAACCAGAGCGGGCAGTTCTTTTACACAATGGGCAGTTGCGTTTCAGAGCGGGCCGGATACAAAAAGCCGACCGCTCTGAAAGACTCCTCTCAGCCAATCAGATTGCTTCATCTTCACTGATAAAAAATAAATATCCATAATTTTACCACAACCAGACGGAGCCTTTTTTATAATAAAGTATACCAAATAAATAGATTGCTTATTTTTATTGTAACTATTATAATATCATTAAACATGCTGAAATTTAGTGTTGGTAGGTGTTAACGACTACACTGTAACTTCTTTTTGGCGTAATAATTCTAGTACACATAAAGTCCATAAATACTCAGGAAAAGTCATAAAATTTTAGAACCATACCTGTACTGGTTTGGGACATATAAATCTGCGTGGGCAATTTCCGCACCCCCAAGTCGGGACAGGGTTAAATTGTTGAAACATTTTTCCATATGAAATTTTCTCTCACCTCTGCTGCAACTAAAGCTTGCAAAGACTCCAAACAAAAACACACCAACACAGCATTAACTTTGGAGTTTTGATGAGCATTTTCGTTAATTATTGTAGAAATTAAACCAACGAGGTCTTGTCCATGCTGGATAGGCCTAAAAATAGATAAAATTGCTCGATTTAGTAATCCACACAAAATCCCTTAAAACAAGAATGGAAACCAAACTTTATGACATTTGAACAAACCCGTGTGATTATTTGTTTCCGCGGAAATACGAACTAAAGAACTTCAAATATGACCTGACTTGGACAGAGTTGCACACGCCATCTCGCGTGTTGAATAGCGGGTTCCATGTCAATCGCTGACGTTATTAAAAAAAATTTCTAAGTAAAACTGGTGGTCACCGTGCTTCTTTTCCAACTACATGAGGAAATAGGTAACAATGTGTTACCAAAACTAGCATAATTTGAAAGAAGAAACTAAGATTAATATATTTTAACATCCCAATACCTGCTGCATATATATAAAACCAAAAAGACGAAGCTTAAAATGTGAAACTGTTTTACACCTGGGGCAGGTAATAGAAACAAACAGTTAAAGTTAATTCATAAAAGCAACATGACACCGAATTTCTAATATCTATCTTCCTATGTCTTTGTTATTTGCAGACGAAATTGATTGAGAAAGCCCACCATTGCATGTAGCGTCTACTTCTCTGGACGCCAAAAAGGCCAATGCAGTTTTTGTGAATTTTAGAGATTGATGTTTGTGGTGTTAGTCTGAGAAAGTTACCGTGCAAGCTGAAAAGTTTGTCTGACCACGGTGGGAATTGAACCCGCGACCTTTGGGAACCAATGCTCTACCGACTGAGCTACGAGCTACCAACAAACAGACAAAAAAGTATCATATCTTAGAATATTATTGATATCGAAGGAACTAGACTCAGTTCCGAAATATCACCAACTCGAACCGACTTGACCTTGCAGCTCAGTTGGAAGAGCATTGGACTAGTATCTCATAGGTCCCGGGTTCGATTCCCACCGTGGTCAGGCAAACTTTTCAGCTTGCCCGGTGTGGATGTACACTCAGAGTAACACCACAAACATCACATTCACCTGAGTACATAATACCAACAGACACAAAAAAAAGAAAGTATATTTTTAGAGATTGTCGAAGGTTCAAAATCAGTTTAGTTTTCTAATTTCTGAATCATTAAATGTACCCATAAATCACCCTACCTTTCCCTGCAGATATCCCGTATTGTAACTGCTTTAGCCAGCTGAAGTTCGGTCCAGGCCTCCGGGCTAAGTGACAGCGTCTTCTCCTGCAGTAGTTTGTGTAGTTGAGGGAAAACGCGAAGTTGTGATTTCCAAAGTTTGAACATTAATCTCAGAGTAATTGCTTTGAGTTCGGAGATATTATTAAGAACCAGTAATACACCCAGCACCTGCTTTACGCAAACCTGTTAAAGGGAAACAGTAATAAAAATTAAGTTTCTCTCATTTGGAGGAGAGACCCACATGCAATATTTCAAAACCTTATTACAGATTTTTTATGGTTGTATTCCGCCATCCAGGAATCTGATTCTATTTAAATTGACCAAATTATGTTAGGTGGATAAATAATCAGGGGCCTCCATAGTGGTTACCTGGCCTTATGAACGCATCAGTGGCGGCGGAATAGGGGGGCTTTAGCCGCCCCCCCCAGAAGTAAAAGGGGGGGGGGGCTTAGCTCCCCCAAAATACATGAAGAATGCCAGAATGCGAGACCATTTATACAACCTACGAAGTCGTCAAATTAATGCTCGCCGGCTAAAATGCAAAAGAAAATATCCCACTTTGTGATCATGTGAATGTAAATTGATTTTCTTTCATTGCGCAGATCGTATAGTGATATTTTCAAGCTTTTTGCGGCTTATAATTGGTCGTTAATTTGCTTCGATTGCTCATTAATTCATCGTGAGTTATTGAGTCATGAGATCAAATGATCTATGCTTAATTGCATATCCGTATTTTTGTAGATTTTGAACAATTTTTAAAAGGTATAGAGAAATCACTACACGCTATGCTGTTCGCGGTTTGTGTTTCCACTTAGTCAAAAACTACGGTAAACGTTTTTAACGTTTAACTGTGACTTTTGCGGCAGTTTTGTTTATTTTTCACTATTTTGAATAAAATTCCCATCTATTTGCTAAAAATGCTTCTCAGCGGTTGTTAATCACTGCTTACTTTATGTATGCACAGTTAACTACGTGATTATAGTTAACTACCGGCTAACGACGTTTTGTGGAACGCAGTAATTATGTCATATAGTTAACTAACAACAGTTAATGATTTATAACTACGGTAGTTAACGCTAACTGCAGTTAACCGGCCCCCGATAGAAAGCCTAATGATAATAGCAATGTACCATGAAATTCCAGAGGTGGATCCAGCAAGGTTTTTCTAGGGGGGAGCTGGGTGAGCAGCCGAGTGTTTCTTTATAATTCTTTAGGGGGTGGTGGGAGAGCATTCAAATGAATTTGCTTCATAACGACTCAAGCGCCGAAGGCGCGTGCTTCCTAGGGGGTGATGAAAATGTTGAAAATCAGAACCCTAGAAATGCCATTTCCTGCAATATGGGCATTGAATTATGAGCTTTAGTTTGACTTCAAAAAACGAAAAACCTTGGAAATTATGCCATATTTCTGAATTTTCTCCCCCCCCTTGCACCCCTGTTGAACAAGGCCTACAGGGGTGCGCACCCCTGTGCACCCCTCTATAAATCCACCCCTGTGAAATTCAAAGAGCCATTATAGCCTCATAGAAAATTAAGTGCAGGATATCTTCGAGACGACTAATGCTTGTCTTGGAGAACGCGCAGTGTTTCAATTCTATTTTAGACTTAGAGATATAAAAAAAACTCGTTTTTGTGGCTAGCCCGTTTGCGGGCTAGCCATTATCACATAGTACACAAACGCGATGAGCGATGATGATCATGGATTCCGGATCCAGTCCGGATTTTCGTAAAGTATCGAGAGCAATCGGAAGCGCCCGTGTTTTTCTGCCGACATTTACATTTGCATTTCGAGGCAATACTAGTGATGTTGTTACGACGCAGTACTAGTGAGGTTGTTAAACCAGAAAATTAAAATAAAGTTTATCTTCATGGCTTCAACCTATGGTGTCGAAACCGATCAGAAATTG